TTATTACTTCCCTTGCTATTCAGGATTGTTGAAAGAAAGTGTGTGCATTGAATAGGATTGTTCTTCTTGCACTTAGTGTTTAGATCTTAAAGGTGTTAAGAACCTTTGATCTCCCTATAAGTTAGATAGTAAGCATCACAATTGGTGTGAATAGATTGTACAATCATTCTAATTATAGTGAAATCTCTTTCGTGTTGAAAGGGGACTGGAGTACTCTCGGACTGTGAGGGGAACCAGGATATATCCTTGTGTCATTTACTTTCCACATTTTATCGCTTTCATCACTTAACCCAAAAAAACAGAAAAGAAAGATCAAAGATTCATAAAACCGGAAATAATTTTAAAATTCCTAATTCACCCCCACCCCACCCCCCACCCCCACCCCCCCTCTTAGTTAGAACTTATACTTACAGGAACACATGTTCCAGACATTGTCAAGACATCTGGAAATGAGAGTGTTATTCCCACCACTAAGCCTAACATAATAACAAAGTTGAAAGCTACTTGTAAGGGATCGGATGAGACTATCAAAATATGTGTTGTAAGAAAAATCAAACTTGAAAGGTTGATTGAGGCTTTGGCTAAAGAAGTTGCCCATGGGAATCTTGATGATGGTAGTCATAATGAACAAGAAGAGGAGATTGTTGGTGGTAGTAACTTAGTAAGGATGATGAAAATGGAGAAAGCAGTGGAGAAGAAGAAACAGATAGCAGCGCTAGTGCTTAAGGAGTTGTGTTTCTTTTTGTTTTGTTTATTGCTTTACTATGTAAAGGCTTATGACCCATAACGTTTTATGCACTTGTGTGCAGATGCTTGTAATTCTCAATTGTGTGTTTCCATCAATGATTGTTTATTTCTAATTAAAATATGTGGTTCCATGTGCTTTTATGTTTCCACCTGAATATTGTGAGGCTTATTTTTCTTCTGCTGCACGTGCATCTGATGTGTAAACTTGGACAATCTATGTTTTCATATTTGGATGTTCCCTTGAAAGGGAATATTGATTATGTGTGACATGAGGAGTAATGTACCTATCTGAAGTTGCTAAGAATTATGCTATGATGCTGAGTTTATTGTGTTGTATTAGAGTTGTTTGGGTTGTGTTGATGTGATGTTAGACCACATGTTATGACATCTGATCTCTGGAGATTTATGGAGTTTGAAGAAGAGTTATGTTTGAGGATGTGTCTCTCTGTAGCTGAATTTGTCTCTGATGTTTTCTGTTTATAGTTTGTACAAAGTTTACATGTATTTCATGTAGCTTGTGTTTTGTTACTTTGTGGTTTTGTTCCTTATCTACGATTTATTGTGCAAAGATTGTTTTAGCCTAAATTTTCACAAGGGAGAGATTGTTAAGTCTGTGATTTTATGATTGACAATAATTTTGGTAAAACATGTTTCATTTGGGAAAACATGTATCACATCCATATGTTGAGTAAGATGTTGTCACATCTTAAACTACTGTCATAGCAGGTGTTGCTGCCTCCAGATGTTGGGCAAGATATTGTGACATATTTGCCAACTGATATAGTAGATTTTGTTGTTACTTTTTTGACATATTTCATTTTGTGAGATTCTCTTGGATACATCTCACTTATTTGCGCAAGTCAAGAAGATTATATTTGGAACAATTGATTTTATCTCCAATTGTACATTAGTTTCTAAAATTGGATGTTGAGACAATTTAGGAAACTTATGATGTTTTATTCCAAGATTCGAGGAGATTTTTTTGCATAATTGGTGCAGCCATCAGCTTGTGGATCTACAATAAATTAGGCAGAGAATTTGAAGCTCATGGACAACTGAGGTGTTTAAAAGGAAAAAATTAAACCTAATGAAAGGTGTGAAAAATATGGAGAAGTTATTCTACAAGAGTCTTAGGGTTTGTGAGTCTTTTTCAAAGTACCGTGTTTTTGTGTATGTCACTCATGTATCATGTTGATATATAGAGTTTGGCTGATTGTTCATTGTTCATTGCCCATCACCCACGAGCTTTTAAGCAAATAATGGATTGTGAGTAATTGGAAGTGTGATCTTCTATTTTGGTCTTTTGTTATTGTCACTGAGGTGACTGTGGAAAGTGAGAGGGGGTTCTCATATCTAGGAGGTTCCTAGGTAGAAGTTGCATAAGGTAGTGATTAAGTGATAAGTTGTAAACTAGGGTTGTTTAGCTTTGAGCTAATACTATCATAGTAGATTTCTTTCATGGCTTGGATGCCAGTAGAATAGGTGATGTTGCACTGAACTGGATTAACAATTGACTGTGTCTTTTTACCTTCTGTAATTTAGTTTTACATAATTTATTATTTGGTAAAAGTATACTTTAAGCAGATGGTGTTTAACATTTGTCTTAACATTGTGTTTTGATGTTGAGACGCCAGTCTTAACATCTATATTGAAAGTGTCGGAATTTCATCTACCCTTATTATTTCCACAAGGACTCTCTTTATTATTCTCTTTCATTATTCCTCGTGGAACAACTAATATATACATGCCATTGTTCCTTTTTTTTTTCTTCTTTTTATTTATTTGATACATCCCTTGCACCCATGTGTTAGACTTTTGTAGGTTCGTTCAAACTATGCATATTTTCCTTCCTGTATAATAACATTCATATGACTTGATGATGATCAGTTTCTTTTGATGGCCTCTTGATTATCTATATCAGTTTCATTGTTTTTCTCATTAAGAGTAATAAATCTAGATCCCTGAACTCGCTCACGAGATTTAAATACCCCCTTTAATCGCTGGAGCTATGTTCTCCCCTACTACAACAATGATGTGCATTGATTTTCGTTCTTCCCTTGCCTTCTATTTTCGTTGTCTCTGGGCTTTATGCATCACAATTCATAGCCATGTGCTTTTTAGGATGGTATTCAACTTAACACCTTTAGATACCTTACAATCAGCTTCTTCTTCTCCATTCCTCTCCACCCTTATTTCTTTTTCACAATATAATCTTCCTTGTAGTGTCTATATATATATAGGTAAAACATGGTTTTGGTGTATCCTGTTTTTTTTCTAAATCTGAACTTCCCTCTTACTAAATTGTTATATGTCGATTTACACATCTTTTATTCTATTATATTTAATAATTTTATAAATAATTAAAATTAAAAATGCAAAAAATACCGTTTATATTTCCACACGTGTACATACTAAAAGAGCATATAGACGATTTCTATTTTTTTACTTGTATTTTTTTCTAGGCACTTTTTATGCTTTGAGTTGCTATGTTTCTTAATTTTTTTAAATATATTATTTTTACAATTAAAAAAAGAAATAAATAATATTTTAGATAATATTTACTGTACAATTGAGAAAAAATACTATAATATTAAAAATTAAAATAGGTAAGTTAAAATTTTGTTTTCAAATAAATTAACTATTTTGAAAGGGATGAAATACAACTTTATTTTAAAACGTGAAAAGTTAAAGTTATATTTTAGATAAATCCACATACATACAAAATAACACGTTAAAACTTAAAAATTTTAATCAATTTTCTTGATTCAAGTGAAACAAAAAGTAAAAAAAAAAAAATTATTAAAAGTAGAAGTGTAAATAAATTAGGCTAAATTTTATAAAGTTTGAGTTTGATATATGATTTAATAATAGACTCATTTTTTGAGTCTGACCCGGTCTTTCTAAAAGTTTGACATTGCTTCAAACAGCAGCAAGTTTGCCTTAATAATTTTGATGTTTGTCCATCCCTTGTCACCAATAATCAGAGTGTCGTCCGCGTACGAGTACAAAACGGTGTGGAATATGAAAAGAAGTCCAAAAACGACAGAGACTAGTACTAGTAAAAAAGAAAGACGCAAGCGGAGAAAGCAAGCCTTTAATAGGCGCAGCGCACAAGAAACAAAACGGTGCATTACTTACTAGTATGGGGCATTAAAAACTTTTTATCCATCGAAGCCCGTGTTATGATGTTTACACATCTCACCAATCTGCAACAATCAACACAGACTTATGTTGAGTTTTCTTTTTCCTATGTTTGCTTTCACTTTACGAGGATTTTAGGTCTGTCCCAACTCAACTTTAAACACTTTTCATTATGAAAACAAACAAAAGGAAAACCACTCATCACTCATCACTATCACACCCGTTTCCTCAATGGATGCCTCTTCATAGCCATTTCTTTTGCTATCACCTCTTCTGCTCTGTTCCCTTTTCATTCATATCCACCACCCTTTATTCCAATGGACAATAAGGATTCTCTGTTATTTCTCTTCCAAAAGTGGAAGACACGTCTCTCTTGCTTCCTGCTTTGTTTTTGGTTCCTATTCTATCTAACTTTACTACTTTCTGTATCACTATTATTCTTCTAGTTTTTTTCTATAAAAAAATCACTCACTAATCCACCATTAATACCATATGACCAATTTAATCCACCATTAATACCATATGACCAATTTAATTGATAAGTATAAAAATATATTATCCAACTTAATTGATAGCCATTCAGAGATGTGAAACTGACCAATTTGTTTTGATAATTATGCACATCAGAAGGCTTAATTGATACTACAATATAGTAATAAAATAAAATTACAAATTCAACTTTTTCCGAACATTAATGCTTCTATGTAAGAATAAAAGGCCTATCAATTTTGAATGTACCATAATTCAAGTAAATCAACAACAAATAATAAAAAAAATCGAATCAAATCTTTCGGTGGAGTTATGAAAGAAGCATCAAGAAATAACAGTTAACCGTTTTTTTAAATAAACAACTCACCACAACCATTTTTACCGTATCTAATTTCAATAATTTCATGCTAATCCATTTTTAAACATTATTTGATTTTTAATTATATTTGCTGTATCTTCTGCACTTTTCAAGTCCTTCCGTCGGTTACTACGTAATAAAAGTGCATCAATGAATCAACTAAAAAACTACAAAATCAAAATCATGAATTCAAAATCCAAACTTCCCCCAAAAAAAAAAAATACTAGAACTCCACTAAAGTATATTGAATTAAGTCATTAAGTCATTAACAGAAATTAACCTGAACACTAGCATTAACAGCAGAAAAACAGAGAGGGCAATTGAAAATACTAGACCCACAAATCATACACAGACACAAATGCCTACATGGAAGTAAAAGCACTTCTGACCTATTTACCCCACATTGCTTGCACATCCATTTTCCCGCCACATTTTCCTCAACCTCCACGTGGCAGTTACTTCTACAACTAGATTCCGCATCTTCCGCTTCATCGCAACCGTTATTACGGTGGTGGTGGATCTCGCTAACTTGCATCACTTTTTCCAATTCGATACGTAACGTATTTACAGCGGTTTCGTTCGTCATCGCCATCTCCCTCCAAATCTGATTCTCCATTAGCAACGTTTTCACTCTTTCTTGAAGCAGTAACTGCAGTTTTCCAAGGTCCTCGATCTCTTCGTCTTTTTGCTTCAGTTTCTTCACCATTGAATCGCGGATCACGCACTGTAGCATTCTTGTTTGCTTCATTGTTAGCTTTCGTATTTCCGTTCTCAAATTCTCCGTCTGTTATTCAAAAATAAAAACGGTTACTACAAATTATAAAAAAATTATAAAAAAAAAAAAAAAAGAAGAAAGAAGGATTAGGATTACATGTTGTTGAATTAAACAATCGATTTCGGATTGTTGAGAATTGTGGAGATGGAGATTGGACTGGTCAAGAAGATTGGATTGATTAGAGAGTTTGATTTTCTGAGGTAGTTGAAGAGAGTTGGATTCGTTTGTGGAGTCTCTGAAACGTTTCCTTGAATCATGAATATGGAAGGTAAGAGTAGAATCAGGTTTGACGGTTGAGATTTGTTGATAGAAAGGTAATTGATGAAAAGATGAAAAAGATTCATACATTTGTGAAGAAGTCATAGGCATGGCGATAGAACTATCCATTTTGATATCGTAGCTTATCCCTGTGAAGAAGAAAAAACGATATAACAGAAATTCTAAGAAGAAGAAGAAGAAGAAGGTAAAGAATGCATTGTATGATAATAACTAACCGTTGGTTGGTAAGTGTGGAGAGAAGAGATTCTGATTCAAGTTGTTAGAGGAATTTATAAGTTTGATCGAGGCGGTTTTTGTTGTGATATTTTTCGGTGATTATTATAGAGACAAATTTGCAGCAAAAGAAGAAGAATTAGAATATGAAAGGGTGAGTATACTCGTGAACCACGGAATGAATGAGTCTAGTTTATTTAAGGCTTTGGCTCTTGTTAGAGATGGACAGAAAAGGTCAAAACTTGTGACACCAAAATTTTTTTCCTTGATTAGTGAAAAAGAAAAGCTAATCTAATTTTACTCTTTTATTTTATGGTATCATAATGTACTTTTAGTTCATACTATATCATTATAATCATTATTTATGGTGCTTGTTTTTATAGTAATGCATGGATTTTTACCTTTTTTTTTTAAAACATAATCAAGAGATAAATATTAGATTTGATTTCAGTTCACATAAAATAACGTAATTTTTTTAAAAAGATTTATTTCAAAAATAGTTTATATAAAAAGTTATTATTATAAATATAAATAGTATTACAAAAATTATTTTAAAAAAAGCTGGAACAAACTGACAAATATTATAACGGTAAATTAGTGTAAATGTTAAGGGATTTAGAGGTTTAAATAAGTAGTTACCTATTTAATCTAGGGATTTTGCATTTAAAAACTATTTCAGTTGGGGGAAATAACCTATTTTAAACACGCGGTGCCCACGTTCTTTTTATAAAGATTAATACTAGTAGTTACTCTTTCTAATTATAAATAAAAAATTTAATTTTTTTATTTATTGAATAGAAAATGTATAAAATCTATATATAAATTAAATACATTAATTATTTTATGATTCTAATATATATTTTTACTTATAATAGATTTTTAAGGAACTTTTTGTAGTTTTTAAAATTTGAAAATAATGAAATTTGTTTGATTATCTAATTTTACAAAACTATCTTTTTGTTTTGAAAATTCAAAAATTAAAATAGATTTTAGTGGGTTTGTTTTCTACTTTTAAAAATTGAAAAGAGAAAAAACAATGATAAATAGTATAATTTTTATTAATGATAGATAGACTTCTAACGTTGTACAATTTTAAAAATATCATATATGAATCATCTTATTGTATAATGCAAATGTGTTTATCACACGATTTTTCTTTTTTTTCCTTGTTAAAAGAGTTTTAAAAAAAATAGTAAACGTGTTTTATTTTACTTTATTCTTTAAAGCAGTTTTTTTTAAATATATTTTAAAAATTAAAAAACAAAATTCATTCAAATAGAAGATCATTAGAAACATCAAATATACAAATAGTATATATAAATAGTATAATAACTAAAGAAGTTCAATCTTATTTTAATTTTTAAACTTTTGAATAACTTTTCAGTCATAATTAAGAAAAATAATATTAAAATATTAACTTTTCACCGGAATTTTAGATAAATCTGGTATATAATAGAGTGGTGACACCAAATCTATCATATAAGATAATTTATTATTCTTTAAAAATATAAAATGTCCTTCTTGCTCAATATTGAACCACATGTATGGTAACACTCTTCTAATCTCACGAAAATTAATTATATAATTAATGGATTAAATCAAAATGGGAACACTACTCGAGAATGTCACACTTCATCGAAAATATCATAACAACAATCTTGTTCTCTAATACGGATTACGTCAATTTGAAAGATGCATTTGTTCATAATTCATCACATCATTTAAAACCTCGCAGTGGAAATCAGAGTTATAATATAAACTTCATTCATCTTGCAAAACTAAGTGTTATGATCTCATCAAAAATTACACTTAAGACCACTTTAACATCCAAAAGAAATCTCATAAAACATGTTAACAAAAGTAATATAACATTAACAAAACATAGTGTTCTCAACCCGGTGTTACATATCAGAGCAAGAGACTTCTAATAAAGGAAAACTTAATAAAACACTCTGAAGCTATCCTCAGAGCTTCTACGAACTACTACTGGTCACCTGCATGTTACCCACATGGAGACAACATTCAAACAAAAAGGGTGAGTAATCATAATCAATTATAAAAAGTATAATAGAAAAGTAAACTTCAAAGTTATCGTCTACGGTTCAAATAGCAACCACACATCATATACTCACACTTCCATATTTGTCATTAAACCATCACACAACAATCATAAGTATCATCACCATATATATCATCAACAAACTCATACAATGTCACGTAGAATGTTAATGCAAATGACTCAAATTCACGTGGTACCAAAATCTTTGATGAACACTTGGTCATCACCCTCCAAAGATTTCCACCATAGGATCGATTCCCTCTTGGAATCGGAGCACATCATAAAACCCACACAATCCATATAATAGGATTGAGGCTCGTCATAAGCAGAACACCTTCCAAAATAGCGAACTGTCGTTCAAAAATGCTATGAATACATGATACACAACGTCATATGAAAATTTGACCACGGCTAGTCAATTGTATCATCATTCTCATAATCATCACATAATCATTACATAATCATCATAGAATCGTCATATAATCGTCACATAATTATCATAGAATCATCACATAATCATCTTCAGATAACATGTATTACATATTTAAACATGCACATCACTAAGACATCGTCATCATATCATCATGAACATTACAACAACATCATTAAAACACCATCATAATACATTCATTAACATTACAACAACGTCTTTACAAATACACTCAAGGTTCGTCATTTACAACAAGACTTCATAGCACACACGACAAGTAATAATCACATTCCTAAACATACTAGACATAGAAATACTGGGCAAACTATTAACTTATTTATATCATGTTAAATTTCTATTTATTAGCTTTTCAACACTTCAGACGGTTCGTCATTTGGATATACGGTTAAAAAGTTACGATTGAAATCGTATTGAAAATATTCTTTCTTCCTTTTTCTCTCTTCTTTAGTGGTCTTCAATATTTATAACATTGCAACTTTAACATCTTCAAAGTCCACTGCTTTTCTTCCACAAGATGAAGCTTGTTGGCCAATGGCTTACGGTAACCCGTTAATCAGCAATTTATCATTGAAGCTTTGATCTTCTTTCATAGCCCTTGACAGAGAGAGACGTTGTGAGGATAAAACAAACTTTTCCTGCACCAATTGTTAGTTCCTAATGGATACAATAAGGTGTATGAGTTTATACAGTATAAAATAATATTTCTGCATCCTGTCACTATTTAATGATAGCTTTCCACCTTTTCCTCTGAATAATATTTTTCTATTAAGCTTATAAACAGATATCCGTTAAGTAAAGAAAGATAGTTGTAAATCTAGCCGTTTTTTCCCAACAGTCACAATGAGAATGATTGACAATACAATATAAAAGATTGTTCTTACGCCACCCTAGAGGGTAGAGGTCACCGACACTTTATGTATCTTTTGCACAACATCACATGTTAACCATTTGAACGTTTCTTCTTATCTTTAGAGGTTTAAGATATTTGAATGTTGAACGTTGAAGCTTGTTGTAGAAGAATCTTTCTTATGAGCCTTAGAACCTAAGTCTTGGAGTCTTTAGAACTTGTCACATAGAACCTTGTTCTTCAGAGTCTTCAGTACTTGGTTGTAAGAACTTTTTTTTCTTCAGATCATCATAACTTGTTCAATAGAACCTTGTCTTCATAATCTTCAAAACTTGTAACACATAAGTAAAGCTTTAGAAGGCCTCATGAGCTAAACCAGAAAGCCACAATCAGAAATTCTTGTACTAACTTTCCTAAGACACGTTACAGAAGACCAATTCAAAACCTTGCTTTTCTGAAACATGTAATGACATGTTTTCTTCTGGAGTGTATGTTCACAACCTGATAATGTCACACACCTTGTACCAGAGTCAGAATATTATAGCAGCAACTACACACTAGACGAAACCATTAGTCTATACAATTGTTCTCTAAGATAACATGTGAAGTTATCATCAAAATCTCAAGGCCAGATGTAGGAAACACTTCTTTTTCTTACACCACATTGCTTGGGTTCTTGGGTTGTTGAATGTATAAATATGTGATAGAAATCTCACCCTTTGAGCTAGCTTTTCAGGTTGAGATCTAAGCATATTTAACATGATATCAGGGTCGGGTTAAGGACTGCAATATGAGAATTTGATATAGGCCCATGCTAGGAGTGAGGGTGGGTGTTGAAGTTAGTAGTTGTGATGTTGGAGTTTTTTTGAAGTCCCATATTGCTTAGGTTCCCGGACTATTGGGTGTATAAATATCTGAGAGTAACCTCACACTTTGAGCTAGATTTTAAGATTGAGATCCAAGCATATTTAACATGGTATCAGATCCGTGTTAAGGGAAGTTGTTGTACCCCGAAATTTGCCCTCCCATATTCTTCAAGATTTGTCAAGAATGATCCTCAAATTGTTCAAGATTGTTCAAGATTGCTCAAGAGGTAGACAGTCAAATCACCTCCTAAGACAACTGAAATTAGGGTTTTGGTTCTTTCAAGGAATTTGGGGTTTCCAATGGTTCAATCAAGTCTCAAGGGCCTATATACATTCTCAAGCATCTACATGCCAAGTTTCAAGACTCACAGTGCCAATTTGCACAGTCAAAAGCCCCATTTGATCCACAGTCAACTGCAGGGGCAAAATGGTCATTTTGCAGTCAAAAGTCAGAATTTTTGGTCAACATCTTATTTTGAGTCCACAATCATCATTTGATCAAGTCTTGATCATGATTCCACAAGAGTATCTCAAAAATCATCAAAGGTGCAAAAGTTACTATTTTTGGACAGTAGAAAAGTCAACTGTATCTTGACCAGGGCATAACTTTTTCATGGTTCATAAGAAAAATCCCATCCAATGCTCATTTTGAATGGGATGACATTTCCTACAATCCATCTTCACACTCTAAGTCCAAGAAATGCACTCACAAAAAGTTATCAATTTTTACATTATAGGTCAAATTCAAAAGTCAACAAAAGTACACTTTGAGTCAAAGGCCATAACTTGAGATTGGTAAATCCAAATGACATGGGACCAAAGGAATTGGTTAGAGGACTTCAAGACCTTTCCAAAATGTCCAAGAACATGTTCATATGATCAAAATTAAGCAAGATGTGCATTGGAGAAGTTGGGAAATTTTTATGAATTTGCAAAAGTCAACTTTGCTCAAAACACCTTATTTTTGCTAATGGGCCTCAAATCTCTTCTTGAAACTTCATCCATGACTTATGCACGACCCATCAAGATTAATTGAATTTAGTTTATTATTTTTATTGATTAATTGGATTTTTAATTAATATTAATTCATTTAATTAATTTAAATTGTAGGAAAATGCAAGATTTGATTTTTCAATCAATTTGTGAAGCAAAGATGGTCAAGATATGATGGCAAATTCGTGCACAAAGTCAAAGATACAAAACATCCAAATTTGGCAACATTTTCCAATCATGAAAAATCAAAAATATTTGATTTTCAATCAAAGATCTAATCATCATTGCAATGGATTCTTGCTCAAGTTTTTGACCTAATTCGTTTCCTCTATATATATGCAAGCAAATCCTAATCTCATGGACGTGAAAAAGCTGCAGAAACAGACCATAGCATATTCAAGAATTTCAAGAAAAAGTGAAAACCTATTCTTGTATTCCAGACCAATTCAAGGAAATTTGTTGATTCAAATACATTGCAGGAGGTCCCAGGGACAATTTGCAATTGAAATCACGCGCTAAAGCTCAAAGAATCAAAGGATACAGAACCACGGTTTGCCATTTTTTCCAGAATCGTAGCTCTCAAATCATGCATATTTAACGTGTTTTCTTGATTGATTTGTGTTGATAGGGACCATACGAAGCTAATGGTATAACTGAATTGGATTATAACTCCCTGAATCACAAGATGCCATGAACGATTTCTAGGGTTCTTAAGCTTTGACATTAGGGCTTTATGAACTAGGAAAAATTAGGACCTGTGAGATATATGACTGAATTCGTGAGGACAAGACGAACCTAACCCACCCATCGCGAAATATTTATGCTTGTTGTAGCTCTAATCGCTATTTTTCCTTGCAGTATATAGTGGGGGTTAAAAACCCCCGCTATCTAATATTGTTTTTACAGGTACAACGAAGAAGATGATGAGGTGTTCACATATGGTTGGACCATTTGAATCAGCGCGCAATTTGTTTTGATTTCAGCATATTTGTTTATTTTCTTATATAATTATTGCGCTTTATTTTAATAACAATTGGAACGCGCTGGCTGAGTGGTTGGGGAAAGCATGCAAAGTCCACTGGGACCTGGGTTCGAACCCCAGGTCCCCCAAAACATTTATTTCTTTTCTCTTGGCATATTCACATGCAGATTTCCAAATGCAGTTCACCATGTGTGATCGGTGGATCTGGAACTGACTGTTTAACGCTGGTTCGCGAAATGTCGCGGAAGCAAGAGTCGCCACCGTCTTTTATTTTCTACAAATGGAAAGGACAAAAGCACAGAAAAATTCCTTATTGAGATTGCTCTCGGTTCGGGAGGTAGATTTATAGAAAGGGAAGGTGTTAGCACCCTTTCTATCCATGGTTATCCATGGGCTCTTAGATACTTTCTCATTTGTGTTTTCAAAATTGTTTGTTTGCTTTTCAAGGTGAGTGGGTTTGAAAAAGTTTCTTTGAAAGTTTCAGATCGACTCTTGTATCAGTCCTCAAGAGTGTTTGAAAAATTGTTTTTTTTTAAAGCTTTTTGCCAAGTGTCGGTGTGAAAAGAAGTTTTTGATTTGTTTTGAATTAGAGCAAGTATCTACGAGTCATCTACCTACCCTAAGGAATTAGTCTGTGTAAATGTCCTTTAGGTAGTGCTATTCCACCATTGAGGGGTAGGTAGCACCACCGTTGGAGGTGTTCGGGTCAATTCGAGGGTTAGGGACAGTGTGGTCACCGAGCAATAGTAAGATACCTTAGAAGCTACCCTTATGCCATTGATATTTTTATTCCGAGGCAACCGTTTCGAGGCAACTTGTTCGAGGCAACTAGATCAATGGAACATAAGGACTCACTAAGACGTCCTATACTTGACGACCACGTTTCGAGGGGCAAGGCAACAGTGTGATCACCAGAGCAACAATAGGACACCTTAGAAGCTACCCTTATGCCATGTTCATGGACATAAGGACTTACTAAGACGTCCTGTACTCGACGACCACGTTTCGAGGGGCAAGGCAACAGTGTGATCACCAGAGCAACAGTAGGACACCTTAGAAGCTACCCTTATGCCATGTTCATGGACATAAGGACTTACTAAGACGTCCTGTACTCGACGACCACGTTTCGAGGGGCAAGGCAACAGTGAGGCGTACCCTAAGAGTGGTGTGTGAATTGTGTGTCATTTTCAGTTATTATTTGTCTTGTCATGCATTGGGTGAGCTACGCTTTGATTTTATTTGGGCATTCATTCTTTCATAAGATTAGCAGTTAAAAGAGTGCGGGATTTAAAGTGCGGAAAATAAAAGTCCTACGCTATTACAAGGCGCGGGTCTACATCGCCAAATTAAATAAAGACCCGATTTGAATAAGTAAAATGCGGAAGGTAAATATCCTAATTATCTATTACAAGGCTTTGGGGCAAATACATTATATCCACAAAAGAAATAAAAATAAATGTGCGAAAAGAAATAAGAATCGAGTGCGAGGGCGTTGGACCCTTTAAGGAATTGAATTGAAATTATTAAATTAATTAATGATTAAAGAAAAGAAGTTATTTTATTTTTTATTTTTTGATGTTTTTGTTTTTTTATGTTTTTTTTTATGAAATAAAATAGAAAAAGAAATTAAAATGTCAAAAGAAAAGCCTAAGTCTAAATTTATTTTAATTATTAAAAAGAATGTTAAAATGACCTAATTAAAAACTAATTCAATTATGGTTTATTTACAAAATAAAGATAATAATAATAAAAGTGTTAATTATATTTTTTTTTTGGGTTTTTATGAAAATGTTAGTTAAATTAATTTAATGATAGAGTAATTATTTTTTGGTGTTTTTTTGGATCAATTTTGATAACTACAAGCAAATAAAAGTCAAATTAATGATTATTTAACAATTAATTAAATATGCATGCAAAAATATTATTTTTAATGTCAAAAATTAAATAAACATTTTTCTGATTAAAATGCAAAAGGAAAATATTTTTTGTGAGTTTTTAAATGCATGAGAAAATTATTTGAATATAAATTAAATTAGGATTAAAAGTATAAAAAAAGGTGAAAAACAAAGGAAACATGTTAATTATGAAAAAGGTGAAAAAAATGCCTGAACCAGGACTCGAACTCGTGCCTTCTGGGAATATCCACTAACGCGTTGCCATCTGAGCCAGCTGTTTCAATTGACATAACAATAAACACTTAATATTATATTGATAAGCAAATAAATCCTGGGAATTAAAAAAACGCGCGCGGAATTTTGAATGGTCTAATGCCCGGTTGCCACGCCATCGTCTTCTACCTTTTCTGCAAAATAACAAACATGTAGCGGGGGTTTTAAACCCCCCCCCCCCCCAAAATACAAGCCTGCAAATAATAGCGATTAGCTCCTCGTTAGACATAAATTAGGCGCGAGGGGTCCATTGGAGTTATCGTCTCCGCAGTAATGGGGAGAGAACCATAGGAAATTATAATCTCAACAGCGGACGTTTGAGAAAAACCTGGGTTGGAATTATCATCTCCGCAGCATTGGGGAGAGAACCATAGGAAATTATAATCTCAACAGCGGATGTTTGAGAAAAACCTGAGATGGAATTATCATCTCCACAACATTAGGGAGAGAACCATAGGAAATTATAATCTCAACAGCGGACGTCTGAGAAAAACCTTTGATAACTTCTACTGAGTCTTCATCAGAAAAATATGTTTGGGGTTGATTTAGCTGGACTAGAGAAGGCCTTGGACTGGATAAGAAATCTTTGGAGTCGATTAACTGAACCGGTCTAGGTCTTGAAATCAGATTGAGAATTTAACTGAATCTTTCCTGAAAGGTAAAGGTCAGTCATACGCAATGCATGGTATGGATCAAGCAATGATGTTCTCAACATAAATGAGATTTGTAAGATATGATGCGTC